TTCATATATATATATATTATGTCTTATAACTACTAACAGTGAAAAATACCAGGCAGTAAAGCCAAAAGTGGGAGTAATCTTTAGAAATGCACGATAAAAAACAACCAGTATGTCCTTTCAAACCAAACTGTTGAAGAGTTCACATGAAGTATGAGACCTATGTTTAACAGATAATTAATATCAATTTACCTCTGAGAGTACAGATAAATATAGATCCAGTATTTTGAAAAAGTGTTATTTATATTCTTTACTGTAACAGATCCACATATATATAATTATTTTAAGGTAAAACTGCTGTTCAGCAAAAATAGGACAGATGTTGAGATAAAACCAGTAATTACTCAGTGCAAACCCACTACTATGTAACAGTTACAGAGGAAATACCTTCTTGCATGTACACATCCATTGCACAAATATGTTTCTTGGCTGACTCGGCTTGCCACAACCACAAATCGCCTCAGATAACAGAGGGAAATCCAAGCTAACCAATCCTGACCACTCTCTGACATTAAATGCAGGTTGCCCTGGTACAGTGTGGGGCAGGCCATGTACACTGCACTTTAATTATTTAGTGTGTGTTTGTGTAGAATACGAAGCAGATGGGAGTGCAATGCTTCCTCCTATCACCAGGAACTATGTATAACGTGAACATCCTGTCATTTACACAGAGATTAAAAAAAAAAAAAATCTGTCATCAGAGGGGGAACCTGCAGTCCTGCAAAGAAGTGGCTGCAAAACCTGCTTCCTTCTTGTGGTGGCACTGAAAGGTCGACTCCAACTACACTTGTTTCTGTTTTTTTCAAATGGAAATACCCACTTGCTCGCCAGTGTGCCTCTAGTTGTTGTTTCTACCAGCTAGAAACAACAACTAGAGGCACACTTGCTCGCCAGTGTGCCTCTAGTTGTTGTTTCTAGCTGGTAGAAGTTAACGGTCATATACATGTGGGGCTAGTATTAGGGTACTCGAAAATGTATCTAGGGGCTTGGCCAGACATCGTTGTATTTCAAATGCAATGACAATAAAGGCATTCATTAATGAATGAATTAATTCATTCAGACATGGACGTAAAAACTGATTACACCACATATGTAGATAATCCTTTGTATTATCTGTTTTTGGTTCTCCATTAGGGATGGGAATCGAGAACCGGTTCCTGTTAAGGACCGGTTCCAACTGGTCCAATTCATCGACATCATTAGCCTTTATGCTTAACGATTCCCTTATCGATTCTTTTCATTACGCCGAATCTATGCTTGTCAGTCAGCAGCCCGTTCAACAACAAAGAAGACGTAATGGCGGAGAGACAGAAGCGGTCAAAGCCATAGCTTCACTTCACGCTGTTGTTAGCCTCCCTGGAGCTGCTAGCTCACTGTGGAGCTTCGTTGCATCCCCGCCCCAGGTGGGCGGCGGGCGGGGCGCTGTTGTTGTTAGCCTCCCTGGAGCTGCTAGCCCAGTTTGGAGATTCGGCACATCCCCGCTCCAGGTGGACGGCCGGCGGGGCGCTGTTGTTGTTAGCCTCCCTGGAGCTGCTAGTCAAGTGTTGAGCTTCGACGCATCCCAGCTCCAGGTGGACGGCGAGCGAGGCGCTGTTGTTGTAAGACTCCCTGGAGCTGCTAGCCCAATTTGGAGCTTCGGCGCATACCAGCTCCAGGTGGACAGCGGGCGGGGCGCTGTTGTTGTTAGCCTCCATGGAGATGCTAGCCCAATATGGAGCTTCGGCACATCACCACTCCTGTTGTCGGATTTCATGGGAACACCAAGGATGGTAAGATGAGGGCAGTTGAGTAGATTTGCACGCTATTTGTTGTTATAATATGCTGGGCTAGCTGCGTTAGCTGCCTCACCTGAGATAGCTGCACTAGCTGCATGGTGTTGACACACTCAGGCTGGAGATGCTTTTTTTCCAAATCTTTCTCATCATCTTTCTAAACTAGACCATGGCTTTATGGTTCATAATAAAACGTTCTGAAAGCAGATGTATTGGGTTACAAACAACAGGAGGTGATATCATTAATTCACAGGAGGAATCGATAACGGAATCGATAAAGAAACGGATCGATAAGCAGAATTGATAATGGCATTGATATCAATAAAATCCTATCAATTCCCATCCCTATTCTCCATCCAGTAAGGCACTACTGTGAGGTTTTTAATTCTATGTTTTCGTTTCTTTTAGGAAGTTAGTAGCTAGAGTCCTTTATCTCTTTGTGTTGAACCCCCAGGCCCTTTCCCTTTGAAGTCTGCCTCACATTTTTTGGTGGTTTTACATTTCCTCAACAAGCTGGGTCATAACACATTAGCAAGAAGCTGTGACGTGGGTTAGAGCAGTGAGCATAGATAATAACAATAATAATAATAACAATAATAATGATAATAATAAGTGGAAGGGTTATTTGGTATTTTTGAAATGGGGTTGTATGAGGTTATTATCCATAGTCAGTGTTAGCCCTTTCCGACGGGTAACTGAAGCCGTTATATCGCTCTTGTCAAAGCCATCAGACTCCTTTGACAAAAACTGTAATCTTACTTTGCAGAACACAGGAGTTTTTGGTGTACCACTACCTCTATTTGTTAGTTTGTTTGTGTTGTGTCTTTCTGATCCAAACTAACATGGCAACCACAAGAGTATGTTGCTTAGCTTTCATGGTGGTTTGGTAAGTTCAACCTTACCGGATTGGTCTCAGGAGAGGAGCCAGACTAAAGTCAGCACACTGAGCAAAACTATTGACATTAGGCACTTAGTAGACCCCAGCCACCAAAATGGTGGCAGGACGGCCGCTCCTGATGAAAGCTGAAAGGAAATCAGGAGTGCGAAAGAGGGTCTGCTAGGGCCAAAATCCAAGAACACCATCAGGCAGAAACTTATGTTAGGGGACGTAGGAAAATGTTTTTAGAAGGACATGAGAAAATAGTATTTTGACGATAAAACATACACGACAAAAATTTGAAAGTTTAAAAACATAAGGAACAGTACTGCAAAGTGGGGATGCCATGGTGAGGAAATATTTCCACCCGATAACAAACATGTAACAACACCGGTGTTATCAATTACACCACGTTTTACAGGAAAAGGTATTCGTTGATGACACTCTTTACTGATGATGCAAACCAAACATTTCCTACTGCTGCAGCTTAAAATAAAAAGCATTAACTTCCGAAACACGAGTTGACTTTTATAATGAAGGAGTCCCAGGAAGCGCAAAGTGTTTTGTCAGTGAGGTTAGAACTACTGCTATCATTCATCAAAAACGATCATTTAAAGTGTTTTTTTTTTTGGGGGGGGGGACAGTAGATAGGACAGTACTACCATGAGGGAAGGAGAGAGGAGAGAGGGAATGACATGGAGCAAAGGGCCAGGGTTGCAATCAAACCTGCAGCCGCTGCAGCAAGGACAGTGGATCATTTTACATATTGCAGTGAGCAATAAAACAGTCAGGAGCCACAGTGAGCCGCTAGCTGAGGAGCTGCAGGTGACAGGCTGCACCTACACCTCCAACTTCTTAGCGATTTAACCAACTCCTTTTCCGTCATTAACTTCAGGTTCACTATTAGCATCGGGTCTAAATCTGTAATATTGCCAAATAGACAATTTTGCATTTCAACTTGAAAACAAATCGTTCGCCCTGTTGGTCAACTCTCCTTATAATTTAAATCTGACCCCTGCTACTCTGTGACGCATCTCTGCTGCTGCTGAACGGAGCAGACATTAAGTTTAAAATTGTACTGATTAAAAAAATCGAACCATAGCCAGCAGGTAATGTAAGCGATGTACACCTTTTAACACCAGAAACACAGACTGCCGCTGGAAGCCTTCTGGAGAGCAACACATTGATATAAAAAAGACCCTAAAATAAAGTAATTACTGGCCCCCCATTTAATTAAGCAAAGTGCATTCAGGTGTGACTGCACTGCTTCTGTCCAGAGAATAAAATCAGAAATAGTCAAGCATTGCAACACACATCAAAGCAAAACCAAACTAAGATTTACAGCTAAGCTTTTCTTTACCAACACGACATGGGCATGAAAATGTCTGCTTTATCACATATTCATGCAAACCTACACCAGACCACTAAAAGCAGTAAGCATCTTTTATGATCCTGACTGCATTTTTTTAAAAAAGGATATAGATTGAAAGTCACTGTGTGTCATCATCACATCCTCCTGTGTTTTTTCCTGCCTGGCTTGTTGGTTAGCTTTTAAAAGGCTAGCATAAGCTTTAATATAACATACTGTAAGCATAAGATAAACCTAAAAACAGCAAACCTCTGGTCAGCCATGGTTGTAAAACCTTGGATAAATACTATGCCTGCACAGAATATTTCACAGGTTGCAAAGTTTGGCCCAGGCACATTTCCCTTTCTGAATTTTATTTCCAGCGGTCGACAGAAATGTGAGAAACCTGGCAGAAATACCGGCAGCAGATGTTCTTAGTCACTTTCTTCCTAACTCAATATATAAACTTGACTTCAGATTTTCCTATTTCAAACTTTCCTACTCCAATCACCAATCACATCTTGAATTCAAAACAAACTCTATGGCTGCAAAGCAGTGACTGAAGATAAACAACATATTCGAGAGCTTAAATGAGTAATGAGACAGAGGGTGATGACAGATTGGTGTTAGAAAAAAATGCTACAGTAAAAAAAACAACAGTGGTGCAATTCACTCACGTGTTTGTCACTGGACGCTGTCCTAGAGACTGCCCTCTGCCTGAGTGCCCTGAAGCACAACAGACCAAAATATCCGTCCTTTGCTGAGCTGTATGAAGAGTCTGAGGGCGAAAAGGGTCAGGAGCAGCGGCTGTCTGTCTCAACACAACAGCCAGGATGAGGAAGTACTGCAGGCTGCCAACCGCTGTGCTGTATGTGCCGCTGCCTCTTTCACTCTCTCTCATACAAAAAGGAAGAGAAGGACAGATACTCAGCCATGAGCATGTTTTTCTCCTCTCACAGTTTTTCCACTCTTCTTCGAACTCTTGAAGAACACGCAGTAAAAGCGGGAGAAAGGAGCAGAAGGAGGAGGAACATATGGCTTTGAGACTACTGGGCCATGCACTGTTGAAATGAGGGTAATCATTTTTATTATAATCACACAGCCAAAACCACTGCCGTTAGAAATGCAGGTGTCTGCACTTTGTTCCCAGGACAGTGGCTTGCAGTTTGACTTAACCTGAGCCCATGTGTGTTTGTGGTTTGTAGGCAAGACACAACAGTGCCATTGTATTCCTCTATATTAAAAACCACAGCCATGTACAACAAAATATTGTGCTGCTTTGTTAAATTTTCTGTGCACTATGTCCGAGTCATGTCTGACTGGTGGAAGTCTGAAAAATAAAGATTGATTTATGACATTGTTATGAGTTCTTTATTTCGAAAGTGATCTGTGGGCTGTTGGGGCATAAACAGCAGCTACAAAGCTGGTCTTTGTCTGAGAAACACTTCTTAATGTGAGGGTGGATCATTTGTGGAGGGGTCTGCATTTTATGCTCCACCATTCTGGTCTAATTTGGATCCCACAACGTGCGGCATGCCAAGGCCGTAGAGCGTGTGGGTAGAAAGTGTACTGCACGCTGGTCCGGGATGAAACAGGCTTCAGCCTGTGGCAAGTGGTAAACTGAGGAACTTGGTCCGACCACACCCCTACACCACCACAAAAACAGCTTTCTGCTACGGGTTGAGAAACAGTTCAGAAAGCTTTTTTAGGCACCACATGCTGTTTCACACTCTGCTGCAGATACTGATTTTGGGTGTGATTTGATGCTGCACACTTTCGACAACACCGATTCTGTGACGTTGCTACAAGCAAACAGTATCTTATTGCAGTTTTGTCAACTGCTGTCTAAACGTTGTGACTGTTCACAGCCAGTCTTAGTGACAACTGTGAATTACATCATGACCGCAGCAAATGCTTGTCTCTTATGTTTAGAGGGTCTCTGTTGAAATTATGTATCCTGACACTTAAAACATAGTTCTAATAATGAGGTTAACCAATTTTTATTTTTTTCTTATCTGCAGTAGACAAATTTGACTTGGTTTTCTATTTCGCTCTACCCTTCATGGATGGCTGAAGTCCTCAACTAAAATTCCTGAGAGCATATTTTAAATATCATGTTTGGTGGGTGGAGCTGGGTCTATATCTGGTTTTGCCTGTGCAGTCTGGTGTACCAGCTTAGTTGGATTTCATTTAAGACCAGATGATCTGGCATTTGTCATTATGACACATTCTGGTAAATTAAAAAGTAGCCTACATCAGCAACCTGTGTCAAAGGTGTCACAGTGTTAAATCCTACCTGTATTGCATTATTAATAAGAAATACAACAACATGATTAAAACAATATTGTTTGTTTATGACTGGACTAACAGAGCCACTTATACCTGACAGGCCATGCGCAATTTAGTGCCAAGCTGAGGCCAGGAACATGAGGGAGACCAAATTTTAGTAGAGTTGGGAGGGAGGAAAATGCGCATGGCACATGTTGTGTTTGTTTACGAAAAAATGCATGTATTTTTGGGGTGACGAGACATAGCAGATTTACACTCAAAAGCCCCTTTTACACAGCCTATTCAGGGCTTATTTCACCTCACCACCCTGTATAAAAGGTAAAAACACGTGAAGTAAGTGTGAAGTGGCAGAACAGGACATGTGTGATCTTTCGATGACGTGTTAAGCGGGATTTAAACTTCTGTGTCTAATCGACGCCATACCTACATTGCAGGTTCTGCGTTGACAGAGCTGAGCCTGTACCGTACCCTACGCCGCAGCGTGACGTGCATCACTTTAAGCGGGATTTATACTTGGTATCGTTACAAAATACGGCACCCACCGGAGGGCGAATTTGTTTTTCCTAGGATGGCAATGGCATGATGTACCCTACTCTGCCTCTGACCTGCATTTGTATAGTGCCTTTCTAGTCATCCCACCACTCAAAGTGCTTTTACACTACGAGTCACATTCACCCATTCACACACACATTCATACACTGGTGGCTACCATATAAGGTGCCACCTGCTACTCAGTTTTAACACACTCTCACAGGAGGCAATTGGGAGCAATTTGGGGTTCAGTATCTTGCTCAAGGATACTTCGACATGCAGACTAGAGGAGCCGGGGATGGAACGGCTGATCTTCCGATAGGTGGACGACCCGCTCTACCTCTGAGCCACAGCTGCCCTGTCTTACCCTTACCCAAATTAATCTCACTACTCATGCCTAAACCTAGGCACAGTAGTAAGTACAGTAGGACGGGTCATGCCTTTATCACCATAGGAAGAACAAATTTGCCACTGTGAGATTTAAAAAGCAGCTAGCAGTAGTTAGCAGCTAACTCAATGAAGAAGAACAGCAAATGTCCACAAACTGGAAAGACACCAAGGTCCGGGAGCTCCTTGTGCTCTGGGCAGAGGATGAGATCAACTACCATATAACAGGGACAGTAACAGATTGTTATTGCCATGTCATTCTGTTGGTATTGTTTGAAAGCTCTGTCCAAGATGAATGCTTTACCTCACATTGTGTTGCACATCACGCCTCTTTTGCATCAGAGACACCAACATGCTATCTAAAATCCCACACTGTGGCAGTGCTAGAAGAAAATATCATTAACATTCAAAGGTATTAGGATTCATCATCTGGGAAACAAGAATGCCCAATGTACAAAGTTTTGTGCCAACCCATTTAGTAGATGTATAGACACATCACTGGATAAGTGAATACAAGCACCACCAATCAGGGGATTACCTGTAATTCATTAGGATTCATCCAGTGGGTGTCACATACATCTGTACAAAATGTCACCAAAGTCAGTCAGACTTGGTCGTGAATGTATGCACAAAAATTTCATGGCAAACTTTCCAACAGTTATTGATATTTCCAGTCTGGATCACATCGGTGGACCGAAGCAACCGACAAACCGACATTACCTTCCATAGGACCATGTCGCTAGCATGGCTAAAGCCTACCGTCTGAGGAAAACAAATATCACTTTTGGGAATAGTATACAGCCTTGTGCTTCCTCCCATACACATGATGTCACCAACTGTCTGTTTTTTTAATCTTTCTTTATCTTATCATCCTACAGAGGAGTTTTACCAGAAGCATGTTGCATACAGGTGCCAATAAACCTGTAGGATCACAGTGAAAACACAACACTTATACGAACAATAAAACGATTTAAAGTGTCCCAATATGGAACAGAGACTTGGGAAAAGCAAACCAGTAATTACCAGTATAATAATTATTTCTCAGCCATAAAAACAGCCAACTTAATTTATGAGGACATTTCTAAGAATTTCCAACTGGAATAAGTTTCTATACTGCCAAGATCCTTTGAATAAATTGAAACTAAACACTTACAGAAAGGGTGACTGAGGAAAAAGGAAACAGCTCACGCCTGGAGTATGAAACAGGCCAAACATCAATAAATAATGACGGAACATAAAGACGTAGGGCTGGAGGTGGCAGCAGGCATTCTGAAGCTCCTAAGCACCGCCTGCTTCTTATTGTCTTCCTTTTTCCTCCCTCAGTCTGTGCACAGGAAAGAGCACTGAGTCAGAGTCTCCACAGACACAACATCATCGCACAGGACGTGAAAACAAATGTAAATTGTGCGATGATGATGAGTGTGTGGCTTAGAATAGCCTACTGTTATTTCCATCACCATTAAAAGTAGAAGCTACTCTTATGATACTGACCAAAACTGTCCACAAAATTAGCTCAAAGTGTAAAGATACTGTAGGATTAAAACTGTCAAGCTGCATGTTTGTGCAGAATGAAATATTGACTGGAACATGAAGTCAGCTTCAAACATCTTTGAAGATTCAGCGGTATTTGGACAGAATATTGATATTTTGGCTCCACTCTATACTATTTGCTCTTGATACTACATTACTGGTCTATGCTGTGTAGCTGTTCCCATAAAAATACACATATGAACCCAACTATTTAATTAAAGCTTCATCTATTTAAAAAACGAAGCCATCTGGCGATGGATGGGTCCCAGTTTTCAATGCGCCAAAAACTATTGGTCAAAATAAAGAAAGATTCAGTAAAGTTGTATTTCGTTTACAGTCACAGCTGTCTCTTTTTGTTGTTAAACTCCCCTCAGCTGCATGGAATAACTGTCAGTGTTGTCATTTCATTTCAAAGATGTCTGTAAGAGGATTAAGTTGTGCACTGAACATGCAACACTAGATAACTTCAGTGGGAGATTTAACAGCAGGGTTGACAATAAAAATTGCCTGATTGCCCAGGGCCAGTAACACGCCAAGCCGAGCTCAACTCACGTGCCCGATTGTGCAGGAGTAGTAATAAAAAATTAAACTCATCATTTTAGAGCTGATGATGGATGTAGCTAAGGAGTGGGCCATCTTGCTTCCTTCTCATCTTTATTGAGAGTTGCACGTGTGCAGTACCGATCTGGCACTCGCAACAAAATGGTGGGTAAAGACAAAGATTATGAGCTGAAGTGCAGAAGGAGCATTTTAATTCTCCTGGAAACAGGAGTTTAGTTAGCTGGCATTACAGTATGTATTGCACAGTTTGCAACAAGTAGCAAGTGGCACCTTGGATGGTAGCCCTGGCCACCAGTGTACAATGTCTGTGTCAAGGGATGAATGTGATATGTAGTGTTAAAGGGCTTTAAAGGGCAGGAAGACAAGAAAGGTGCTATACAAGTGAAAGTAAATTTACCATAAGATGGGGTCCTATTTCATCACAATTACAATTAGCGCTCACATTCACACCTATGATCAATTTAGAGTCACCACTTAACCTAACCTGCATGTATTTGGACTGTGGGAGGAAGCCTGAGTACCCCGAGAAAGCCCACGCTGATGCGGAGAGAACATGCAGACCCCGCACAGAGGGGCTCCCCCCACCCTGGAGTTGACAGACTGGTAAAAATAACAAACCTCAGTCTAATCACTGGCAGCATGCAACACACCTGTGCACAACCCTGGTGGTGGGAGCTCCACCTCCCGGGAGTTGTAGTTGGGGTTTTTTATGTACTGAATGGCAAACTGTTTTGCATCATATTATAAATTTTTAATATGAACTGGCTGGGGCACAAGCCAAACAAGATTTCATGCAGTCAATTTATTTTTCCTGATGGATTACTGATAATGTATCTGAGGGTGAGTGTTTCCTGCCATCTTGAAGCTCAGCAACAAGACAATGTAAAGATGGATTGACACGAGAAAATGTAATTTAATTAGTTATTTTAGTCTACGACAACCACATATGATGAAGTATAAAACAGCTGGATACCTATCATAATGTGTCACTGACAACAAAGGTCTTACAACC